TTGTGATTTAATTCTCCATGTTAAAAGTGTTTCTACTTTTCATTTGCTTATCCAGGCCATTTTCTGGCTTTTCCTGCCTAGAAGCATAGTTTGTACAGTGAGACATAAGGAGGATTCTAGTGAAAACACTATTCATTCTTTCCATAACACTTTTCATTCTTTCCATTTTGCATCAGTCTGGAGCACTGATCTCATCTGGATGGCAAAGAGTCATGGTATCATCAGCACTGCTGAGCCTTTTTGAGTGCCAGAGGCAGTCTGAGTGACTCATAGCTGAGACAGTAGGGCTTTTGAGAGCTGCCTCTGGGACAGAGCCACAGGGAGTCTCACAATCCCCGTGCTATCAAACGCAACAATAAAGCTTCACAATGCTGTGTGTGAAAATACCAAACTCTGGGGGGGTTGCTTTCTCATAGCAATAGCAGCTATGAATGGCGCAAAAGTTCAAACTCACGTAGTTGGATTTATTTTCTTCATCACTGAAATCATAATGACAGATTGCAAATCTCTGATTTAATTCCCAAACCTGCTGTTTCAGTGGTTTCTTCTAGATCTCCCTGTCTTTATCACAGTTGCCTCCAGCAATAGAGGCACACCTGCCAACATGAGTCAGAAAAAGTTAGTGGTCCTATGCTAATAAGAAGCACTCTATTAATCACCATCTTGCTGACAAGCTTATGTGATGTATGTGTGTGGGCTGGTAGCAGATTAGTACCTTGTGTAAGTATATACATAACACACAAGCCTGGGATTTCATTAATATCTGTAAAATTCCTGTTACAGTAAGGAGTCTCTTCAATACAGCTTATTATACTAGACACAGATGTCCTAAATGAAAAACAGGCTAATGGACAAAAAGTGCTCTGTTCATCCTTGTATTCTTTCAGTGTTGTGAGAGTCCATGTTTTTTACAAACTCTTTTTTGTTCACATCTGAAAGCCTTTTTGAAGAACTATTGTTGGTCCTCTAAACAGATAATTCAAAATTTCATGTGATGTTTAGGCTTGTTTGTTAATTGAAATGTTTAATTCTATATATTCTGCAAAGTCTTTGGGTTAGGGAATACCTTTTCTTTATCCTGCTCCACAACATTATAATTCACTTGAATAAGGCAAAAAATAAATGTGGAAATTCAGAAGTATCTCTTCCACATTCAGTTTTCCTGAGTTATCTGATAGGTCCTTAGGTCCTGCAGTTCTGTTTTTTATTCGACCTTTCCTTTCTTCCTTACCAATAGGCCTTTTGGTTTTATCTCTTCTCTGATGGTAGTAATTTTTTATTTCTCTGGCTATCATCCTTTCCTGAAATTAAATTCTTACTCATTTTGTAGATGGGAAAATACCAAAAAGAAAAATTCCAGAGACATAGGACTAGGCTGAATAGCTGCTGAATTAATTGAGAACTCCTGCCCTGGTATATCACCAACAAACAGGCCAAACAAATTGCCTTTATCTGGAAAACAAAAGATGAAATTTTCAAAACTGGGATACCACAATGCAGCATTCTGCTGGATGACAAAGTACCCCAACAGGAAGAGAAAGGTCATCATTGTTCATGTAAGCTGCTCTCTGACTCAAGATAGGTGGTCTTGAGTATTATTTTAATTCTTTACTTATGATTCAGTTTACTTCAGTTTAATTCACTGATTTATAATGTCTTGTTATTAACTAACTTTGTAGGCAAGTTCTGCTTTTCCTGACACTTCTTATAGGAATTATTCATTTTGAACAAATATTTGGCAATGGCTGGAAGCTGAGAGCTAGAGAAAGAAAAGCATGATGTAAAAGAAAAGAAAGACATAGTCCATTAACAAAGACAAATGATTATAAGATTTGCCCGCAGTGGCAAGGTTTCACATGTAAATCCACCTTTGCCTTACTTTATCCACGCCTGAAACTCGGCCTCTCACATCCTGCTCTGAGTTTTTCTTTCCCCTGCAGCCTCTGTTTTTTGCTGACCTGAGTGTTTATGTTATTAGTATTTAGTAGGTTACACACATACTGATGTATGAAAGACTTGTAACTTAAGCCCAGTTTTATGCCAACACCACTCTATTGCTGGAGGCTGGTGTGAGTCCAGGCAGCCTTGGAGCACACACCAGGTACAGCTGGGACCTGGCTGTACAGAGCCATGCAGCTGCTCCTGTGGCTGTGCTCTGAGCAGGACAATCCTTCAGAAGATAAAGTCCCTTCATTTTTCCTGGCTACTTGTTCTATTGTAATTGCTTTTCTTTTTTACCTTGTAGGCTTTCTTTCAAAAAGACATATCCCACAGTTTCTTCCTAGATCCTGTGGAAGCAATACAGTAAAGGAAAATACCTCAAAGAAAGTAGAATTTTGTCCAATCTCACATGCCCAAGGCTGTTAAGTAAGTCTGTTATATAACTAGAAGTACAAAGTCCTCTAATTCTTTTAGGGATGCCTTTGAAAACTACCTCTGGCATTTACTTTCTGCCATATAACAGCAACTGTCCTAGAGCAGAGGAAATCCTTCAACAATCTGCATGGAACTGAAGGTCTCTCTCTGTGTAGAAAGTACTAACTAGCAAATCAAAGATTTTGCTTATGTTGCTTTAACTGAAATTCTGTGTCACAGCATAGTTACTAAGAAAAAGAAAATAAAATTATTTTCATTCTGGTTGTAAATATTAAATAAATTCAGTTGATTTTTTTAAATGATCCCTGAAAAAAAAAGAGACAGACAGAACAACTTATGATTCAGGGCTCTGCTTTATATTCAGTCAAGTAAAAAATACATTTAATTAAATGATTACTTGCCCATGCCCTTCTCTCTTACACACTCTCCAAATACAGGTGAATATAAGTCAAGAAAATTTATTTTTTTTTTAATATACAATTAAATTGCTGTAAATTTCTGTTTAAAAAGAAAATCTCTCAGTTTGCATGCAAAATTGTCTCCAGTTTCTGTTAGTCTATCAAGTGAACAGAATTTCTTCTTCCTCCAGTCAACTTAAAGCAACTTACATAAAATGGTTTCCAAAAGAATAAAAAGGGCTGTAGGCTGGTGATCTGCAATGAAAGAGATTGTCTTGTTCACATGTGGACACTGTCAGAGACATCCATTCCTGATCATCAGTCATTGCGATCTGGTTGACTTCTAGGGGTGTGATGTGGGGTTGTGTTGACAATATCTAACCAGGCTCCTTTAATTCTAACCACTGGGAAAACATGTATACCTATACAATTCTCATGTATGTATGTATATATATATATATATGTAACTGTTATTGCTGTTAATCTCATTATAATTCTGCATTGTTCCATGTAATAATGTTATCAGAGCTTGAATGTGTAGACAGTTCTGATTGATTCGCTCTTTCAAGATCCAAAGCAAAGTTGTGCTTGTATGCATTCATATTTTTATCCTCCAGTTCCTGGTTCTTTTCAGACATTTTCTTGACTTGAATGCTGCTTAATGTTATCAAGGACCATGCTACCAGTCTTTTCCTTTTTGTTCATGTCATTTATGGTCATCAAATTTTCAAATATGCAACTCTTCAATTTAGTTTTTGTTCATAGATCTTGAAAAGAATAATGAAGCAATTAAGGGAACATATGGAGACACATTATTTTTTCTATACTATGCTATAATTCTAACACATTTTCTTCCAGTCGAATAGTCTTTTAGCATAAAAGAAATCCCAAAAATGTTTCACATCAAATAGAAAAGAATGCATCTACAGTTCTGGATTTCTATAACACTAATCTCACTGAAATATCACAGTGCTTAAAAGAAGTTATTTTCTTTCTATATGTGAAAGAAAGATGAGCTTTATTTTAAAGGACTGAGTCATTACTGGTGCTGGAGTCATCTACTGACACAGGTAAAATACTTAAATAAGTATTTGTGTATCTTTTAGAGGATGCTCATGAGAGAGGTAAATAACATGACTCCTCTTTTGCTATTTCAACACAGAAAAGAATAAAAAGATGACGAAATGCATTTCAGACTCAGGTTTCTGCTAGTGGACTTGCAGATATTTAGGTGCTGCTATGAGAGTATAAGGAAGGTTTGCATTATGTTGCTGGTGTGCAATAATTCAATTAATTAAATCAAAGTGCTGAAATTTTTTTAAAAAAACTACTGTCTGCCTATCTTTGTGTTAATCTAATACATAAGTCTTTGTGTGTGGCAAATATTTATATTACATCATTAAGATTACTTATGATACTTGAAGGAATCTTATTCTGTTGGAATAGACTTTGGAACGGAATCAGGGTTCAGTGTAAAAGGCAGGTTTTGAAAATATCTGATTTTTGGTAAAGAGCCATTACATAGAAATTTATTTGACTCATCTGTACATGAAACTGATGGGACTTAAATTTCTTAACCTACAGACAGTTCTTTAGGTGTCCAGGTGTACTGGAACACGTGGTTTCCTTGTTTCTCTTGAGAATTTCTGAGTATCAGAGGAAGTATCTGGAATAAACCACTTTTGTCATATACAATTTAAAACTTCAGATAACTCAGGGATTTTTCTTTTGTAAGTCTATGGGTGGCTATTTAACCTCCTGACTGGAAAACATGAGTAACACTGCAGATCTCTATTATCCACACCATTTAGAAGGTATAGAAAGTAACTAATCTTGCAGATTTGTTTCCATAACAAAATAGACATGAAATAGAAGCCACTGTAAATTTAGGACGCTGGTACAACTTTTAGAAACAAATTTGCTGGCATGGCTAGCACCTCTTAGATGACTGATAGGTGTTTCTTTTTCAATTTCCTTCTTATGGAAGTTATGTAATAAATTTTGCTTCATAACTCAGAATGACTGAAAGGCTAATTTTAGCTCTGAAGGGTTTTTACATCTAAATTGATCAATAAATTAGATGGATTAATTAAGTTCTGCTGTCAGGGCCAAGGATTGTCAGTGTATGTAACCTTGCTGATGTATCATTTATTAATCTCTCAAGGAACAATAACTTTTTTTAAACTCTCTTTATGTCCTTTCCATTTTAAGGCCGTCAAAAGGTCTGCCTTTAGAATGAAATTTCATCCTGTTAGGGAAATGATGAAGTAATATCAGTAATACAGACCAGCACTCACCTGCAAAAGATGAAAAAAGTTCAGGAAGAATGTAATTTATTTCTGACAGCTGCATAAATTAGAAAGAAGTGTCCTGACAAATGAACATGATTGCATTTTGTCCATCATGTCAAGAATGGTGCTATAGGTTCTAGCAATTCTGTCCCTCAGTAATAATTTTTCATCCAGATGAAAATACACAAGAGAAATTAATGAGGAATAGAAACCTCTTTCATTATGACTGACCACAAAAGATGGTGTCCGCATTGTAAAGGATTTAAGGGTTGATAAGTTTAAGGAAGATATGAAATGCATAATATGTATATTTTCATGAAAAGAAATTTTATTTTCTTTAACATTTTTCAGAGCACAGCATAGTCTGAATCTTACTATAGTTTCCAGTTTAAAACTGGTGTATATATATTGGTATATTAACTCCATTTTCTCATGTGTTTATACAATCAATGCTCATCTGATATATTCTCTTACTGGGCTTTTACCAATTATTAATAAAATAAATTAATTTAAAAATAAAAATAAGAAAAAGAGGAAGAAAAGGGGATAGATTTTTTTCCACCATATTTTGTGTTTCATTTTTTCTTTGTTACAACAATACAATGCAAATATCTATTTACATCTCATAGAAACTTTTTTTACTTGCATGTGGTTATGAACAGTTTCTTTTGCTTTATATCAGTGTTTCTTTTAATCTATATCAACTACTTCAACTTTCTTGGAGAAGGTTTGTGTTTGGTTTAGAATTTCACACTCAGGTAACATCTTGTCAGGGTTCAAGCTGATGATGCCACTACAAGATGTTCCATTTCTCCTTACTTAAAATGAAAACAAGAAAAGAGAGAGAAGTACCACGTGTCAGAGTCTGTACTTGACACTGCATTGCTTCTAATACAGTGCTCCTGTCTTGTAGGCTGTGGAAACAAAAAGTAAAACAAAATCGAAATCTTAGTCACTTCAAAAGTACCAGATGCTCATTGAATCATATATTTTCAGAGGGATGCAGACACCTGAGACTTCACATGAAAATGACAAAAATGTCAGAGTCTATTAGGAAACAATTTCCTGCAGGCATCTTATGTGTAGGAATCTGACTTTCATACCTTCAAAAACCCAGCAATGGCTGAACTGCATCATTAAGTGGCTAAATGTGTTTGACGGTCTTGCCCTTGTTCCTCCAGAATCTATCTCATGAAAGAAATAGTTGCAGTGAAATGACTCAAGAAGAAATTAAATGTTTATATGTACAAAAATTATATAAGGTGCACACATTCATTGTAGAGGTGTATGATTCCTCTGTTAGTTTAAGGACAAAGATATTATGGCACATAAGCTGAAGTTTCCAAAACAGCTTAAGCACTCATAAACTCTACTATTAGATGACCTTCATTAGTACATTTCAGGAGTACATAACGAACTTTAGAAAATATTACACTGTGACAAATCTAGTTTTCATATTATAAGTTAATGAGTTTCTCTTTTAACTTCCTAAATTAACATGAACACTGCACAAAAGATTACAATGGCATGATAAAAGCATAAATTTAGTCTTAATTATTTAAAATGTATTTCTCAGAAGTGAGAATGGCTGTAATGCCTCTAGATGCAAATGTGTAAGGCCAGGCACTATTTATGTCTTCCTTTTAAAGAAAGGAGGATGTCTCTGTAACATAGCCCTGTTGATGTTAATAGATTTTTTGAAGTGCATAAGGATCTGGCCAAACTGTCTCTGATTCAAATTATATTGGGAAAGAAACAGGTAAAATTCAAGAAAATAGAAGTGCATTTCTTTTTATCCTTTTTTTATTATTATTTGTCACATTATTAATATGCTTTCATTTTTAATTTATTTTCCCTTCTATGAACTAGCTAAAAAATGCACTGTACACCCAACATAAATATTTCTGCATCACAAGTGTAGGGGTTTTTTTTGTTTGAAAGTGTTCTTGCTTTCACAGTAGAGAGCTCTTGATAAAGTTGCAAAATTAACTAAGCTTCAATTGCTTTGCCAATTAAGTTTCAAGAAATTGCATGTGATTCTACTTTATAAAACATTTTGATATAATACAGTTACAACAGTATTAAGTTTATTCTCCAGTTTCAGCTGTCACAATGACCAACTTCTTTAAATGGAGGACCTCTTCATGCTTGATGTGTTGTAGTACTTCTGTACACTTCATGGCTTCACGCTATTCACTAGAAAATAATTAGGCATTTGAGTTTCATTATAAAAGAAACACCACAGCCCACAGGTCCTGAACTCTGAAAATGTGAAAAGAACTTCCCTCACTGATTCAGGGACAAAATTTCCCTCTCTGCCAGCCCTCAACCTGACCATTCTGGTTTGGGATGAGCACTAAACTATAGCAGGCTTACTTAGTCTTTGTTGTTGAATTGTATTAACTGAAAATTTTTAGTGGTAATTGAAGAAACATGAAAAAAATCATTGTTACAAAATCAAATATTTATTTCATATTAAGCACTGAAATGTTTGTATTGTTATGCAGCTTGTGAAAATTTCTTTTCTGAAAAGGGAAATATTACACCCATAGTTACTTTCAGTTACTAAAGATAGGTGCATTCTCTCGCTTTTTACAAAAGATTTCATTGTGGATCATTGATGCTTAAAGTGTATTTTCCTGTAAATTACAGTTTCCCCTTAATTATTGAAAATTTAGGTAAGAATGTTTGAATTGCCATCTGTAATGTCTTTTTCATAACATTCTTTTGTGCCTGTTTGACACTAGAAAAAGAAAAGTGTTTTCTCTGTGTGTTTTGTTGTTGTTGTTGTTTTTTTTAATCCATTTGCTTTAGTTTATATAAGAAATTTTAGCTGTTTGACATCAGTAGCTAAAGTCTTGGGTCAAAACATTGCTTATGAAGTATGAAATTACTTCTTTTTTAGTGCTGATAGGTTTTGAGAAACGTGAGATTTTGAACTGCAGTTGTCATTATGTTTGATTTTTTTCAATTTTCCATAAATTTAGTAAATTCTATTTTTTCATAATATCCGAAATATTGCACAAAACTGAATCCTTGTAGATTCAGAGTGTTTCTGAAAGCACTAAAACTCTTTGGATGGCTGAACTGAAATTGTAAACAAGGAAAACCAGTGAGATGCATTCGTTAGAAGGGAAAAAATCACCCTTATCTGCTTGATTATACATTATTGTAAAAAGAGTGTGTTTTAAGGTGATTATTCAAAATTCATCCATGATTACTAAACAATAATTGATTATAATATGGAGGCCTGCTTACAATGTATATGCATAGTTTTATTAAGCGTGCATATTTTACTGAATTTATGACATAGTGAGATTTTTTTATACATTGCCTCTTTTATTATGAAACTCTTCTTCTTACAGAGTTTAACTTGACAGATCTCATTAATCATATTTATCATACAAATATGAAGTGTAACCTTTTGTGTAGAAACTCTTTTTGTATAGTTTCCTCGTGGGTGAATTCCCAGTAATTACATTTAATGGTTAATGTCACATCTGAGCATAGATGTAATTAGCCAAAGTAGAGATGTTGGTTTCTCCTTCATTTGATCATCTAAGCTATTTCAAGTTTCATTTTTTTAAGTAAGTGAATAAGTGAATTGCAAATTGGAATTTCAAGAATTAGTGTTTGCATCTGGCATACACAGACTCGTTGACTCCACAACCCTAAAGAGCTGTACAGATCTGTAATGTCATGGCCTTATAAATAGCAAAAAAATAGACAGTAAATACAGGAAAAGACTTTGTTTGAGTTGTTTCATTCAGGTGAAGTTGATATATACATTCAGATTAAGAGACAGTTTAAAGTTAGAAATTCAGAAGATAACTAGAGGGCCAATGCATTGCTCCTCAGAAGAGTACAGAATCAGATCCTACCCAAATAAATATAAATTTGTAGGGCACATCAACAAGTTTCCTGGAATAATCAATGACTATGACAATGTAGAATGTCTTAAGTGTTATATATATTGCATTATATTTTCTGTATTTATTATTGTGATGTATTTTTTCATCTTAGAGTGGAAGAGTTGTTTGAAATACTCCTTTCCAAATAACAGATTATAGAACTGATGTATTGTGGTGTTCCCTACCATATGGAAATGCTTAAAGCAGTATATCATAACAGAATGCTTTATCTCCAGTGCTTTCAGTACTGCTTGCTCTGTAATTTCTTGAAGCATTCATTAATTAAGGAAGTACAATGCAAGTAATTGAATTTCAGACTAAGACCAAAATAAATAAATGTGCCTTTAAAGGGAGAAATGTTGCTATTATTAGAATACTTCTGACTTAGTTTATTTCAATTATTTGCATAGCTGTAATTAAGCTATAGTGCACTTCATTTCTGCATTAAAATTAAGTAGAATAAAATTATCACTTTTTAATAACATCAAATTAAATTTCATTAATGAAAATTTAATTACTAGGTTTCATATTAGATATAATTAGCTAATGATCTATAAATCTGTATAAAACACAACTTAACAATATAACACCTGACATAATAAAATAACTAATCTCAGCCCAAGAAGTAATTAAGAAGATGTCATATGTGCCATATTTCACTATCCATGAGTGAAGACGATTGAAGCTCTGGTAAAATATACAAGATGAAATTTGACTTGGCCTGCCCAAGGCATGTGCTGAGGGTTACTCCATTAAATGGTGGCTTTTATTTTCTTGGTTTGTTCTTTATACTAAGACTTTCACCAGAAAAAAAAAATTATGAAAATAAAAATCTCCTAAGAGAGAATATTGAGATTTCTCTGATGAATTTTCTCACATTCTTTGGATAGAACTTCTACTCAAAAGCAGTAAGAAAAACATGTTCTATTTAGTTAATTGCAATAGTTTAGGTTTTCAACTTTGATGTCATTATGAGCTAAACTGCTCTGCAAGTCCGCTAGAGTCCTGTCATACTTACTCTTGATTTTTCCAGTTATTGAAGAAAACAAAGCCATGAAAAGGCTGAGCAATAAAATACCCTCACGCCTCTGGAAAATAATAATGATATTGTTGAAATGTACTTTTTCACTTGCCTCCTCATGTTCTTGTCTTAGTTTATTGAATTTGGTGATCTCTATAACTCAGAGAAGAAGTGAGCAATATAAAATAATTATTTATTATTTTTCAATATGTGAATTGATCACTTAAGTATACATTGGAGTTCAGAGCATTGGAGTACATATCTTTCTGAAATGTCTTACAAGCTATTTGATTATTAAAAAATATTTATAATACCCCTGTTGTTTATTTCCTGAAGATGACTTTGAATTTCACTGAGAATATAGATTTTTTTCCTAACTTAAATATATATATACATATATGTACATAAGTAGAAGCAATATTCTCCACCATATATGTGTCTTAAAAATAGATTCCTGTTCAGGGACTTTCAAATACTTGAAAAGCTGGTAGTCCCATCTATATTAACTTTGAAAGTTGTCAAATATGCTATGTTTAACGCATGGACAGTTTCCTGTATATGCAGAAATTATGTCAGCTTTCAGTACTTTAGGTTGCCTTAAATTTTAGAATTCTAATTGCCTGTAATGTGTTTGCTAAAAAACAGGGGGGGGGGGTTGTTGTTTTTTTTTTTTTTTTAGTGGAGAAAGGTTATAGAGTTGCTGATATTGTTAATAAAGTAAAAAGACAAGTTTTCACTTTGCATAAACTTGTCCATAGTGTTTATATTCACTTCAGTACAGTTATTTCTGATTAAGGAGTTCATGCATGTATTCATGTAACAATAATGATACAGTATAAATTTGTTGAGGAAAATATATTCAAGTTTGTAAGTGATTATTAAACTAAGATCTAGGTACTTCAAAGTGGAACGAGACCCTATTTAGAGCCAAAAGGAGTGCAGGCTATTGTGATTTGCCGTGTGGTTTGGTATTGCTTTCAGATTTTAACATGTCCTTGTGGGCCAAGTATCCAACCAAATATCTTGCCAAATTTTTGAGAACTAAATAAGCATACTTTGAATGCAAAGTTAGGAATTCAATGTTATTCTAATAAAAGAATTACTATTAGTGCAAATTGCTCTAAGCAGTGTTAATTTGACTAGGGCATGAGAATTCCCTCCACTTTAGGAACAAAGGAGATGTTGCCATCTGCAATTCATGATTTTTCTGAAGTTTGGATCTTGTTTGCCTATTCTTGAAAATGCCTAGATCCCTCTGGCTGTGTGGGCAAACAGAGCCTCAGCTCTTCAAGTTGTTGTATTGACAGACTTTATATCAATCCAGATGAATTGGTTGAGGTTTCTTCCTCCTTTGTTTTCTCCTGTGCTTTATTGATAAGTGATCACCAACTCCTGATTTCTTCTTGATACATAATCTGATTTTCTGTGTTCTTCTGCTGGTGGTTGACATAAATGGGAAAACAAATTTGAATTGTTGGACACAGGTAATGTGCTTGCTGTATGCAGGACTGCTTTAGTTCCTTGTCCCCATGCCACAGGAGCAACAAATTACAATGAAACCAATAAATTCTGCATTTTCCTAATGATATTTTTAAATTCTAAATAGTGGTATAATGAAAACTTTCTCATATTCACCCTTCCTCTTTTCCTCTGGGTCCCAAATTCAATGGGAACAGCCTTCTGCATGGAGAAACAGAATTGGAAAAGAGCAGAGTTTCAGCAGGTGCTCTGCATCCTCAGTCCTTCACCAGTAGAAGTGAGATGTGGCTTCAGGGTGTTGAAGATTTGCCTCAGGTCATGTTTATACTTTTGATAACACAGCCTGATTGCTTGGTCTTTCTTTAACAGTTGTCCATAAAACCATCTTTACCAAGTATCTCAGGGTTATTTATTAACCAACAGTCAACCATTTATTTGTTCTTGTAGCTATAAGGCCTCTGATATGATCTTGTGTTTGTAGATTCAAAGCCTTCACCTGTGTATTGTGCTCATACCTTTAGGGTATGTATCACTACTAAAACAGTGATCCATTAGAAGACACATAGAAACATAAAGGTACAGTAAGTTCAGTAAAAGTGCACAGTCCTACACCTGGAGAGGAATAATCCTGGGCAACAAGATATGCTGGGGGACACCCACGTGGAGAACATCTTGTCAGAAAAGGACCTGGGAGTCCTGGTGAATACCAGGTTGAACATGAGTCAGCAACATGTCTTGTGGCAAAGGCCAGTGGTATCCTGGGCTGCATGAGGGAAAGGGAAGTGATCCTTTCCCTCTATCAGCCCTGGTAAGGCCACATCTGGAGTGCTGTGTCCAGTTCTGGCCTTCCCTCTACAACAGAGACAGGGACATACTGGAGACAGTCAAAAGGCCATTAAGCTGATTAGGGGACTGGAACATTTTTCCTGTGAGGAAAGGCTGAGGAAGTTGGGATTGTTAATCCTGGAGAAGGGAAAGTTCAGGGGGATCTTAATGTATATAAATACCTGAAAAGAGAGTGTAAAAAGGATGGATCCAGGTTCTTTCCAATGGTACCCAGTGACAGGAAGAAAGGCAACAGGCACAAACTGTAACACAGGAGGTGCTGTCTGAACACCAGGGTGACCAAGCCCTGGCACAGGTTGCCCAGGGAAGGTGTGGAGTTTGCTTCCTTGGAGATATTTAAAAGCTATCTGAATATGATCCTGGGCAATCAGTTCTATGTGTCCCTGCTTGAAGCTCTGCTTGACCATATGACTTCCAGAGATCTCTTCTGACCTCAGTCATTCTTTGATTCCCTAATTGCTTTGGTACTCTCCTGTTATTAGTATCTGGTAGTTACAGCAGTACACTGATTCACTGTCAGAATTACAACATGGCATAAGCACATTCTGTCAGCTATCTCTGAATAGATGCTGTGAAGTAACACATTAAAACAGAGAATCTTGTTCACTTCTAATGAGACGCACCTGTCCTTGAAGCTATCCCATCAAACCATAGCTGTGTAGTAAGCATATTGGCATTTGGGGCAGAGTTTGCACTATTTCACTTTTCACCTCATCTCTACCTTTTTTTATACATTGATTTATTTTTTTTGGAGGCTAAAATCAAAGTTGAATCTTTCCAGATATTTTACTATGTTTTAAAGTCATATACTACATTACATACTTAATAAAGATTTAGAGAAGTGAAATTCATTCATTGATCGGAACATGTTAGACAGTTTTAAAAATGTGTATTATTATATCATATCACTCATGTCAATCCTTAGAAAGACTTAGTAATCAAAATCATCAACATCAGTCTTAAAACGAGAGCTCAACGATATGCTGTTAAAATAAATGTCAGCTAAAAATCACTGTCACAGTTTAAATAATTCAATTTTCTTTTCAATTAGAAATTTTTAAAATTGCATTTTTAAGATTGCAAAGTACTGACTGGTACTGCATGAAGTTACATTTAGGCTGCAAAAGTATAATCAAATTATGTTTTTACTTTTTCCCTCAGAATAAAGCTTGGTGTTTCTCCATTGTTGCATTGAAAGCAAAGCATTTTTAAATTCATAGAATACTTTCCCACATCATAAATATCTTTTCTGTAACTCCCACATCATAGAAAGTGCAGCTATCTGTACTGCTAAATGTACTGCTAAAATTTCACCACTTCATAATAATTGAATTGGATGTCAAAGTTTTCTTTGGCTTTCCGTTCATTTTGTGCTGCATTCCTACCCCAAGAAATTAAATTTTTATGCCCTTATAAAGGTTGTGTTTAGATTCCCAGTCACAAAATATGATATTCTTTGATTTCTGTAAGACCCTCATCACCATCCTAGGAAATCTTTTGTCACAGAGCATGGGTACCAGAAGGGATTCACTACAGATGACTGTTAAAGTGGGTGCAGAATGATTAGCACGTGAAAGAGTGGTCCATTAAGGGATGTTGAAACCAACCACTGTCTTGGGAAGTCCTTGAAGCACCAGTGGCTGGAAACTGGCAGGGCTACCTGGAGATGTGCCAGGATATGACAGTTCTTACAGTAGGACTGAGTCCTTGCTGTCACAATCTTAGGTACAGGGAGAGAAGCCCAGCTCTCAGCCACCTTCTAACACTGCTGTTGGTGGTTGAGGAACTGTTGATTTGGAATAGCTGAGAATCTTCATTCACAGTATTAACTGTGAACTTGAGGAACATCTTGTACTCAAAAAATGAGTGTAATCAGCAATCACTCAGTAGACAGTATGATGATAATAGTTTTCTTTCATCGTGGACCTTCTGGATTTGCAACAGGAGGTCAGACATTTTTCTTCTCAAGGCATTTGAAGAGTGCAATTGCGTGCATTGATTAGGGTAAAACTAGCTTATGTACTATAAAATGTTTAAGAAAATCTATGAAAAGAAGCGATTCTCTGATCTGGAGTATATGTATTTCAACTTCCAAAAATTAAAAAGGTGAAAAGACAGACACTACCATCTATTACATATTTGATTATATTCAGATAAGTATTATTTTTTAAACTAGTAACCCTGATTTTATATAGCTTTTTATGCAAATTTTCAGAAAATAAAATTAGGAATAATTAATTCCTGGTAAAGTGTAGCAGGAGGAAAAGGAAGATACGCAGTCATGATTATATGTGTGTGGAGAACTGGTATAAAATGTTGTCTAAGTGAATAACTTTGGTCCTTTCATTTGACAGTTTATTTGAATGGACCTACTTTTGCCCTTTCATATGCCTTTCTGGGGCCCGAACTTCTAATTCCTCCTGGGAGGTGGAGGATAGGACATGCGGCGCTGGATTTTTTCAGGCCTGAGGAGGACCTGGAGGCTTTGGTGTGAGGTGTGAGGTTTCCAACAGGAAGAAGCATATGAGATGAAAGGTGTTAAAATGCACCATAATATGTGTGCTAGGGCATTAGGCAGTGCTGTCTTGGAAGTCAGAAAGTGGAAAGATATTGGGCAATATCATATTTTCTGGATAGCAATGTGCTTGTTTGAAACCAACAATTAAATTCAGTGAAATTTAAGCTGTTTCCAGGACATCCAGACTTATCACCCATACTCTCTGCAGTTCAGTTTTTCACATACTTCAGAAATGTCTGTTATTTTTTGATTTTTAGGTGTGTGACTAAAGCTACTGTGTAAGTGCTCCAAAGCAGAAATGTGACTGGGTATGGGATTTCACTTCTTCACCAAATAACTTTGAAAAAAATCCCAAAAATTAAATGGTCACCAAATATTTAAAAAATAGATACTTTAGGCTAATTCAAATAGGTGTTTTGTTTGCAGATATCATAACATCCCATCTGCTTATCAGATGAGGCATATCTCTTGACATGGTGGTAAGGAGGCTATCGTTTCCATCTCTAGCAACTAGTAAAACCCTCCCTTTGAAATTGGAATGTTTCAACTTGTATTACCTTGATTCTTGTCACTTCAACAAAGTAGTCTTCAATTATCTCTGAACCAAGACTTTCTAAACAATATACATCTTTCTGCTGATTTCCCTGTTCTGGAAGTTTCAAGAGAGATTAGTCAGAATTACAAATCACAGGCAGGCAGTCCTAAGAAAATAATTGTACTGTCTAGCCAAAACAGTCTCTCAAAGAGGCACTGTACCAGAGTCAGGTGGAGAAGGAAACTTGTCTTTTTAGTATTCACAGTATGTAATACTTAGTCTGGATTTTCTTTGTCATGCTTCTGAGAGTCACAGCCCCACAAGTTCATTAACAACCATGTGTCTCCACCAACCTGGTTGTTAAATTTAATATTTACCCAAATTTATCAGAAATTAGTTTAAGACTGTATGTAAGTTATAGGTTAACATTGCAGTCCTAATTAAAAAAACAACTCACATTGGTTTTGCTGAAAACCATACAGTTTAGGTATTTGTTAACCAATTTCATTAAGTCCTGTTATGCATTTACTACCTGCAGATAGTAAATCTTTACTGACTTCAAGCTATAATCTTGGACTTCTACAATTTCCTCTTACCATATCTGATGTTAAACATATTTGTTTATTGCAAATTACTGAATTTTGAGTCCTGCAATGTTGATTAGTAAATTGGAATATATTTGGGATAAAGACTGTCATTTTACCATTTTTATACTAGTTGCTCTATAGGAAGCAGTTTCTGATGTTGGAAATTAAGTACTGCTATAGCACACATTTTAAGTGATCAGATTTATTAAAAACTGTATCTGAGGGATGTTTCATGATCATAAAATGCAGATGGCTAATTTTCATTGAAGGTTTCAGCTCAAGTACTGGTTGTCTTTATATCTCACAGTATTCAAAAAATAGGAAACTTCAATTTGGAGACTAAAATCTGTAGTAATCCTTGAGAATCATATGTACAATATAGTGTTCAGATCTTCCATTTGCTGGGTGACAGCTGTATATTAAAAGATTGGGACCAGAAGAAAAAAGGACACTAATTTTCAACATTTTGCCCATGCCATTTAGGAGAGGTTACTGTGAAGAAACAGTGTTGTATAATCTCAACTTCTGCATGCCAGGGACATAGATTCCTTTGCTTAATATGTGCATTGGATTCTGCTTACACAGAATAAAGATCAGTACTTTTCTTCAAAGAGAATATTTTTTCTGAGGCCAATATGAAACATTATCTCCTGTATGTCTCAGTGTTCAAGTGACTTTCATCAATTTTTAACATTTTTTTTTCTTCAGCAGTTTAAGTCAATAATGTGGTGCCTTTAAGTAAAAATCTATCTTATATTTTGCTGTGTGTTTGTTAAATTGATAAAAGAGTTGAGAACAGAGTGTCTTGGACAGTCTTTACTGCTATCCCTACTTATTTTCTTCACTGTTCCATCATAACTGATATTACAGGCAATAGCAGTCAGCACAAAGAGATTTTATTTTTGCCTTTGTGTTTTGTCTGAAGTCTAGATCTGAAATTCTTTAGTTCCATATAAATATTTATCTCTAGCCTGAAAAGAGGCTTGCTACTCTCCTTTCTAGTTATAGTGCTAAGTGGTTCATAGTCACCTAAATATAACATTTATTTAGCATAAGAGAAACAGACAGTGTTAATATTTGAATGAAAACAACATTTGACTTCAGGTAGGTGGACTTTTCCGGTTCTGCAGGATACTGTTCTGAAATTTCCTGGTGTGCCAAGTGATAACTGGAAATCCCTCCTTCCATGTCATGAATTTTATAAACATGAATTTTATTTTTTAATTTTTTTTTTTTTGTAAATTTCAATAAGAAACCATCCTTTTAGTGAAACAAAGAATTAGACATAATTTTATCTCAGTAATCTGTACTTGTTTTGTATGTTTGCAATTCACATATACCCAGTGTATTTTCCCTAACTGACACCTCTATACATTTGACCCAGTCACCTTTCACTAGGTCTTTGTTTTCTTGGTATTAATATTACTATACAGTAGCTATATATAGACTTACACTCTACAGCACTTGTGACCTTTTCCATAATGGAATGGGTGTGGTTGCTGCACCATATCCTGTCCTTGGCTGCCGCCCTGTCCA